GAGCCAAAAGTTGTCCCCCTCAGAAACAAATTTGACCTGTTTTTGGATTTTGCCGAAAAGTTCTTTACTACCCTGTAATGCCTTGCGGTACGTTTTCGATGGGCTACCCTGTATTTGTTTTTTATTTTTAGATACTATTCTGGGCTTTTGTGGTTCATTTGGTATTACCGCTGGAGCTCACAGACTCTGGACCCATCGTTCTTACACGGCAAATGTTCCTCTAAGAGTTATTTTGACTGTGTTTAACACTGTGGCTTTTCAGGTTCGTTAAATCACTGATGCGTAATTTATCTTTAAATTTCCAAATATATAATATGTTGCCAATTACAATTATTCATTCTTACAGAATTCTGTAATAGAATGGTCGAGGGATCACAGAGTCCACCACAAATTCAGCGAAACCGACGCTGATCCTCACAATGCCAAACGCGGATTCTTCTTTTCTCATGTCGGATGGCTCCTTTGCCGCAAACATCCCGATGTCAAGAGCAAAGGAAAGAGTGTTGATATGTCTGATTTGTATGATGACCCTATACTTGCTTTCCAAGACCGATACTACATGATTCTGGTGCTCTTTTTATGCTTCATTTTTCCAACATTGACTCCAATGTATTTGTGGAACGAAACCTTTATCAGTGCTTTCTGTGTCAATATCTTCAGATACATTTTTGCTTTAAATGCCACATGGTTAGTCAACTCAGCTGCTCATCTTTATGGACATAAACCCTATGACAAGTGAGATAGTCTAAAACTAATGGATCCATTAAATTAATTTCATTCAATTGTAGGTACATTAACCCATCTGAAAACCTGACAGTTTCTCTCCTCGCTCTGGGTGAAGGATGGCACAACTACCATCACACCTTCCCATGGGACTATAAAACTTCCGAGTTGGGAAAATACAGTGTAAACTTCTCTGCTGCATTCATCGACTTCTTTGCTAAAATCGGTTGGGCCTACGACCTTAAAACGGTCTCAGAGGATATGATTAGGAAGCGTGTTTTAAGAACGGGAGATGGCAGCCATGAAATTTGGGGATGGGGCGACAAAGACCAAGACAAGGAAGATTACAATGACGCACTCATCACTCACAAAAAATGTTAAATAGTAGTTCCAGAAAATGGTAGCTTTAGTATCTACATATATTTAATAAGTACTACTTGAGAGATTGAATACAGAATAAGACCTCTATTTACTTAGTATTTTTGCTGTAATATATGTTTTTTATTAAAGAAGTTAATATTATGCCTCTATGTATTTTAATATATCAATATCTGCATCTTTTTGAAAACATAATATACTTTTATGACCAGACAACTGTCTAGTCAAAAGATTATCTGTTGAATTTAATTTGGCAATGATGTGTTTCAAACAGATGAAATATTTCTATATAAGGGTGGCTCATTTTAGAAATTTCTCCTTGTTTCATTATTATTTTCAATTATTTATTCAAGTCAACCAAAATCTATTAAATAACAGCCACACAAAAAAAAGTTGTCTGTACTTTTCATGTTATCATATGATATCCATAGTATTTTTGCCTCCTGGGGGTCTATTCTCTAATCTCTACTAACAATGTCGACTACGACAAATGCCACTTATAATTGTCGCATACTTTTATAAAACTGTATTCTCGAGCAGTAATAGACACAATTTTGACGCATGACTAAATTTGTCAACACTGGATAACGACTCTACATTATCGATAAAACAACTTTTTTGACATCTTTCTGCGTTTTATTCTCTGTTCACTGGTTTACTGGTTTTATTTTTTACAATTTTTAGATAAATTAAAGTACTACCTATTTGATCCAAAATTTGTCAAGTGCTAATGGAGATAAAAAAGAATTACTGTAGTCAAAGCCAAAAAAACATGCTGATTGAAGTATTACGGCAGGATCAACAGCTCGTCTCTGGTAAATTTACTGGAAAATTTCACAATAGTATTTTTCAGCCAATTAAAGGCCTGTATTTTGTAGCGTTACTATATCAACTAAGAAAATTTCCGGAAATTTTTCTCTTCCTTGGTGTAAGGAGCATGAAATTGCACTGGAAATTTTTTGACATTTATAAATAAAATGACATTTATATTTAACTTCAAATTTATTCTATCATAATTTAATAAGTACAAATCATTTATAAATAATTATTTACCAAGTATGTACTTTTAGTAGTTTTAATTAAAGCGTCCAAATGTTGCTGAAATTCCTCAGCCACGTCTTCTTTTCTTAATGGGGAATAAACAAGCACACATTCACTAAAATTTATAAAATGTCTATGTTTCAAAAAATAAATGTAGTACTTTGAAACAATCTTATTCTGCTGTGATCCACGAAGAGCTCCATATTTCTTACACACAAGAAGCAAATGATTTTTAATAATCCCAAACAAGTTTGGCGAATANTCATTCTCTTTCAAATCTAAAGATGCATATTAATATTTACTGTAGTATTTCTTCAAATACAAATACAGGGTGTTTTTAAATGAAGTAGCAAAAATGGTACCAATGAATGTAGAGACAAAAATAAGAGGATTGAAGTAAAAATGCCTTATATGAAAGTTGAACCCCTGAGGCGATATACTCTTTTATAGGAGGGGATTGAAATTCACATTTTATTTTTTTTTTCTTTAACATGAGGAATGCTAGAGACACGAAACTTAGTATGAGCATCTTACTAATAAAGAGACAACTTTTCAATATTTGTTCGATCATTGGCGTATTTTATAAAGGAGTAAATAGTCAATCCCATTGCAATATTTTATTAGACATTTTTTATATGAGGCAAATTATTTATTTAAAAATATTTATTGGAAAGATTTATTGCGTAACTTTTTTACCTTTTGTAATTTTTCGATAAAACCAATAGTTTTCTAGTAAAAAAATTAGATGCGTCATCGTTCACTAAACGGGTAATTGCGAAAATTTTTAAAAATAAAGTAGGCGGATGTCAACAAATAAATTGTTATTTATCATAGGCGGACTTCAGGGGTCTGTAACTCCGAAAGAAGGGGCCACTTGGCAAAAATAAAAAATACGGGTCCTCTAAATTTGTTTTAAGAATCTGTGACCAAATTTTGTTGCATAAATTTCGGGACACCCTGTATACAGGGTGTATTAAAATGGAGGGGTACAAATGATACCAGAAATTCCTTGGATGAATATGAGTCGATTTAACCCAAGTCGCATAATAAAAAAGATACAGGGTGACAAAGTGAACAATAAAAAATTGTTTTTCCTTAATAATTTCTATAATTTCAGTTAGAAATGTTTCAAATTTTCAACAGGGAGGTATTTTAGTGATGGGAAAAATAATATAATAATGATTTTTGAGTACGAGACGGCCTTTACAGGCAACGTTATGCATTGAATATTCAGTAACTTTTTTGCTAACCTCCGTATACAGCTTTTAGTAACAAAATATGAAATATTGGACTTTTTTTAACAAAAAAGATATACTTGTTGAAAATGGCTAAAGGAGGATTTTAAATTTCATAAATTAGTGTTACGGATTTATACTTCCACGAATACCAAGGTTAGAGTTGCTTAAATAAATAAAAACATCGAGTGGGTAAATATCATTTCATAATACTCGTAATTTGCAATTTTGAAGTATTAGCTTAAAGTGTTAATTGATTTTAGTCACTATTTACCTGCGTCCTAGATATTAAATAGTTTTGGAATTGAATAAAATAACAAATTATGTATACTAATGTCGAGTATGTCGATATGTTGCAAGTATTTTGTGAATATTACAAGAACTGTGCTGCTGCTGTAACACTTTCACGTACTACGATTTGGAAAATTGCGAATGATAATCTTTTATACCTCTACTATCTACAACCTGTGCAGGAACCGACTGCTGCTGAGTTACCCAACAGGATAGATTTTTGACGATGGTATATTAACATTTCAAGGGAAAACAGAAATATTTTATCCAGTATTTTCTTAGGTGATGAAGCATCATTTCAAAGACATGGTTTAGGGAACCATCACAATAATCGCCCATGGTCTGACGAAAATTCTCACCAAGTTTGGACATCCAGATTTCAACATAATTTTAGTTTGAGTGTATGGACAGGAATCGTAGAAGATTATCTTATTGGTCCGTTTATTCTTCCTCGGCGTCTCCACGGAGCCGAATATTTGAGATTTTTAAATGAGCAACTCTTAATATTGCTGGGAGGTGAATAGGTCGAGGGATGCACCAGTCAAATGGCCTGCGCGTTCACCGGATCTCACACCCATAGACTATTTTTATGAGGTCACTTAAAAAATGTTGTTTATTCCAACCCTATTGATAGTGTGGAGATGCTTCGTCAAAGAATTTTTGCAGCAGCTGTGGAAGTAAAGAACGACATACATTTTTTTTCAAGAATTCGTCGTAATTTTAATCGAAGAAATAGACTATGCTTACAGGAAAATGGAAATTACTTTGAAAATATTCTTTAAAAAATCTTGCTTTTTTATTGTCAGTCAATTGTTTCTCTTAAATTATCTATTGACTGTTGTTAAATGACTTGGTTTTAGTTGCTTTGCTCTTTTTTCTAATAATTAAGTGTTATTAAACTAACAATAAATAAGTATTTTGCATCATTTTTTCACCTGAACTGTTACTTCATGAGATTTCTTTAATGCAGGGTTTAAATAATTTCATATCTACAAGAAAATGTGTTTTTTAATAATAACACCAAAAAAACAATTAAGTGTATTAAGTGTATTCACATATACTAAAATAATACGCAAAAAGAGTAAATTTAAAACGGGAAAAATAATGTTGTCTCAGTCGATTCCTGCGCCCTCTTTTGGTCGAATTTTAAAATACAGATAAACAACTAATACGTACTGTGAGGCAATACGTTCTGAATTTATTAACAAAAGTGTCTGTTTGTACCTTGGTATTCGTGGAGGTATAAATCCGTAACACTAATTTTATTAAATTAAAAATATCTCCTCAACAGTTGGCTTTAGCCATTTTCAATAGGTAGATATATCTTTTTTGTTAAAAAGGTCCAATATTTCATATTTTATTACTAAAAGCTGTATACGGGGGTTGGCAAAAAAGTTATTACTTATTCAATGCATAACGTTGCCTGCAGAGGGCACTTCGTACTCGACACTCAAAAATCATTATTATATTATTTTTCCCATCATCAAATAAACCTCTCTGTTGAAAATTTGAAACGTTTCTGACTACAATTATAGAAATTATTAAGGAAAAACTATTTTTTATTTTTCATTTTGATATCCTGTATCTTTTTATTATGCGACTTGGGATATAGGTATGTTAATTTAAATCGACTTATTTTCACCCAAGGAATCTCTGGTATCTTTTGTGTCCCTCCATTTAAATACACCCTGTTTATTCAAGTCAACCAAAATCTATTAAATAACACAGCCACACAAATAAAAGTTGTCTGTACTTTTCATGTGACATACGTTATCCGCAGTATTTTTGCCTCCTGTTCACGAATCCGGTGTTAAAATTGAGCTATCACATCATAGGAATTTCCTAACCTTAAAGACAGGCCAAAAATAGCAAAAATTCACGAAAAAGTGCTAGGAAAAATACAATTGTTCTATATTCAAATGTTCATTTATATGGTTAAGACCCCGTCGAACGTGAATCCGCGGTCAGAATTGATGCTTCTTTTCCTAACCTCAAAAAAAAAAAAACGAGTCAAATAAGGTCAGATATCACAAATTTTCAAAAAATAACAGATTCGCGCCAAATTTGGTATACGGGGGATTTCGGGGTCGCTGATCACGAATTCGAGGTCAATTCCGGTTTCAACACTACATTTGAAATCTATTCCGTACTCATTGTTTCCAATTTCTGTTTGTCCTTACTTCTAATCTACCAGCTCTTCACAAATATGACTTGAATGAGTACTAGCATCTTGTTTGGGCCTTCCAAAGGGAGACACTACCCTCTGAAGACAGTTGAATACAAATGTATAAAAATGTACCTTTTTTTAATTCTTCCTGGATTGTTGTATTTCTTCACCATATGTGTCTTCAAATGTTCGTTTTATGTGTTTTACGACTTTACATCAAGTTTTTAAACAGTTTTCACCAAAAGTTTGTAGGATGCAAAATTTTTAACGCTCTCTCGCTGCCA